AAGTCCCGAAACCTTTCAGCTCGAGTTACAAAACCGTTTTCAGTATCAAGAAGACTGCAATGAAGTGGACGATATGAATGACAAGCTCGTAGAAACTGTCCATGCGGTCGGAGCTTAGTTCTGCAAGACCTGCTGCAGAAGAACACAAAAACTCTCCGATCACACTGAGGCTGTTAGAAAGGAGATGAAGCTACAGTCTTCAACAGATTTGACAGCATACAGATAACTGAAGAGACAGATCTCCAAATGCATGCGGCGGGACTTACGCAACTTCAATACAGTTGTATTGAAGAAGCGATCGAGTGGAACCAAGGCTCCAAAGTCTTTGCCAGAGATCTGTCTGCCAGAAAAAGGCAACTGTGAAAGCTGAAGACTGAAATTGGCAGCATCATTTCCGGGACACCTGATATTTTGAGTGAGATTGAGATGTTCTGTGGGCAGCTGTACACGTCATTGTTGGAGCCACACGCAAGTGTGAGTAACGATCCAAGAGCGAGTCTTATCCGACACTATTCCGAAGATATCCCGGACGTCAGTCCGAGAGAGATTAAAATGGCTCTCCGGTACCTTAAAAACGGCAGGGCCCCAGGTGAGGATGGAATTACAGCGAAAAAACTGATACTTGAAGTCCTTCAGAAGCTCTTTAATTCCTTCCTCCATGGTGGCACTACTCCAGAGGCGTGGAGCAGAAGTGCGGTGGTCTTGTTCTTCAAGAAAGGCAACAACGCTCTCTTGAAGAACCACAGACCGATTTCTCTTCTGGGGCCGCGTCTACATGCTGTTTTTGAGAGTCATTACGAATCATCTCGCACGCAGACTTGACGACTTCCAGCCTCCCGAACAAGCCGGTTTCCGAAAAGGATTTAGTACCATAGACCACATACACACCCTTCGGCAAATTGTACAGAAGACAGAAGAGTATAATCTGTACAGTAGGCCTACGATGGCTATCCGAGTAGAGAACCAGAGTACAAAGCCTATCCAAATTCAGAAAGGTGTAAGATAGGGTGACGTTATATCCCTGAAACTCTTAACCGCTTTAGTGGAAGACGTTTTCAAGCTACTGGACAGGAAAGGATACCGTATTAACATCAATAGCGAGTACATTACTCACCTTCGATTTTCCGACGATATATTCATTACGGATAAATCGCTGGAGGACCTAAGCACTATGCTCAATGTCCTCAATAGTGGCTCATAATGTCTATTATTCTTAAAATTATATTTAAAATTTTGTTTTTATGGGTCTTAAAGTGGCTTCAATCTGCTAAACAGCCTTAACGGCATTGACTTATATATTACTAGCGTACTAAACAGGATTTCGAGGTTCTTATAGTCTTAGTAACTGTACTATGCATGTTATGGATTATAACATGCATCCATTAGTTTTAATCAGTTCTATGATAGGATATTTTATTACTAACGCTGTAACTATAGCAGTTTTTTCAACATAACATATAATTTTCTTTAGAGATACGTATATAAGATGAAAAACCTTGTCTTGGGGACAGTTTTGGATAAATTTAATTTAGACTTAACTTGATTTTTATCTTTTTCTTTTTTTTACATATTGATAACAAATTAATTTTGTTTCATTAGCATAATATAAACACGCAACGCATGCAACTTGGCGATATTCTGTCTCTTATACAGATTTAAGTTGTACTATGGCTGTTATTTATTTGTTTAGTTTTATATCACTTTTATAGACAGAAGTCCTAAAACTACTGTATTTACAAAAGTGTACATTGACACCATAAGAATAAGTTTTAGAAGAGAGTTTGCATATACCATTGTTCAAAAGTATGATTTTAGTGGTACTATAATAACATTTAGAGATGTATAAGCAAGGGACAACATGCAAAAAATAGCTACTATAAAACTTCAATGATAAAATCAGATTGAAGTGTTACAAAATACTTAAATTTGTATACTAGAGTTTTCATATTCTGATTAAGAACCCTACTCAGATCCCATGATACAGACTTAATACAGCTTGAGCTGTATAATTACTTATAAACCACTCCTATAAGGATACAACCTAATTCAATACTCTTTTACAATTTTAAAAGAACTCTAAGTTCTTTGTAGGCTAGTATATTGTTGTTCATAACGCTTGTATGCGCTTGGGCACGCTGTCACAGACTACCAGAGTAAAATAGTAGCTGTGCTTCTTATGGTGAGTGTAGTGAACCGGAGACCCCTTTTACTGAAAACAAGGCATTCCATCGTAGCTCTGACGGGTGACAATGAATTTTGTGAAAAATATTTTTTTAAGGGATGAAGGTGAAAAACGAGCACACAGTTCAACCTGATTGTAAGTGGTTGCTGCGGCCAATAGACATCTACATCTATTCTCGATTATTTTTCAGCAGTTGTCACCTGTGAGGACTAAGATGTAAGAATAGAATGCCTCGTTTCCAGTAAAAAGGGTCTCCGGTTCTCTACACTCACCATACGAAAAACAGCAGCATTAAGCTGCTATTTTATAAAGGTATTCTGTGAGAGCGTGGTCCTTCCCTGGTCGAGTAACCGAGGATATATGTAGATGTCATGAGCCACAGCAACTACTTACCATTAGGTGGACTGTGTGTACGTTTGTTGCCCTTATACTATAAAAAAAACAGTAGATTTTTCTATTTCCTTGAATATGTTGTACTCACATTTAGTTAACTGGTTTTTAGTTTTATTTAATGTACTTTTATTCGCCTTTTTCATTAAATCTTTTTCTCTTTACCTTTACATATTCGCTGTGTTCTGTTTCTTCAAAAATCTACTGAATGCTTATTACTTGGCTTCTTATATTTTTCATCACACTTGTCACCTTTTAGTGTATCTTACTTATTCTTAAATGTCTAAATCTAATGTAGGTTACTCTTTTAAATTTAATTATGTAGTTTATTTATCTACATCTTTGCACAACAATTATTTTTTATGCACGATATGATAAGATCGGTTTTATTTTAAAAATAATTGGTATTCAATACAGAATACGTTGACTGATTGATGGATTTTACCATTACAAACATGTATGACCGCAGACCAATACACACTTATGTTGGCAATGTACCCGACATTTCATCTAAGATTAATAAAAGTAAGCATTATTTTTTACCTGCACAATCTTGTAGTTCACATAAATTTTCTGCCAAAATCACCGAATCGAAGTCCCATATTACACGTAACAATAATTGAATTAATAAGCTATTTTCAATGCAACGGCCGTTCAATTTATGTGTACAGGGATTATTCAAACTATCGCCGTATTGTGGCCGTATTGTGTTATCGCGGTGTTGCTGTACACTTTTAGGAGAATTAATTTAGTTGAACTCTAAAACAAATATATCGCTATTTTTTGGTGTGTGACTTTTATATTTTATGATACAAATGACAATATTCTTACATTTATTATTTGAGTTATATCAATCGATACTTAAATTAAAAAATACCATATTAATAATAGCACAATAAGTTAATTTAATAAAGTAATCTGATCAAAGATTGAGTCCAGTCGGTAAAGTTTTATTTTATAATAGTCTACACAAAATTATGTCAATAATACTCTTGACGCCTGCCGTCTTCCAGAAATTATTCTTATAAATATATATATATATATATATATATATATATATATATATATATATATATATATATAATATACTAAATAACTGTGCTGATACATATTGTAACCATGTTATTTATATTTTTATTTTTACTACACAGAGTGTAATTTTTAGCTATATGTTCTTTAAAATAATAATGTTATAATACGTACCTATTATTTATTTTTTCTTATTTGTCTTTAAATGTTATAATGATAATAGAATTGATTTCAATGTTATTATACTGTATATATAACACATAAAATATTACTATGTTATTAAACCTGATGTCTATCAATATCAACTTAAAAACTTTATTTTTCTTATGTTTTACTGTCCAACCCAAATAATAGTTAATATTTTAAGTATTACTTTTATTCAATACGTGTAACGTGTCCCAACGATGGAAATTCGTCTATAGTTATTTTGTATAAAATAAAACATCTTTCTCATCGTCACTCTTTCATGTTGCAATAAAAATAAGCCGAGGCATATTTTTTGTCGCCGCCATTTTCATATTCAAATAAAAGTCGAAATAAATGCCACCAGACATACGAGTTTCCTCAAGCAAATAGCGTAAGAAATCTGAATCGTGTCAATAGCGCCACAGTTATGATCTTTTAACTCGATTTCCTTAGTGGGTACCACATTCCTATATGAATTTTATAAAACTAATTTTATGTTTATTCTGTAAGCTTAATTTCCCTCAATGTAACATTGTTTTATTACACAATATACAAATCCGTGAACACTATTAATATTTTAAGTAACCATTTCATAATTTTTCACAATCAGACAACCAGTGTAAGGATAATTATTTTTCATCATTCTTATTTATTTAACAGCTAGTTCTGAAAGCAATAACGATTTGTTGCAAAACCAAAGCAATAAATCCATATTTTTCTCCAACCAGACTAAAGCTATAAATTCCATACCGGAATACGACCAACGCGTATGCTCGCAAAATAATAAATTCTGAATGCCTCACGCACACTTCTCAAATTCATAAAGCAATGGACAGCCAATGTTTTATTAAAAGAAGAATTATTATATTATTTGACATCATAATATGATTTTTACTTTAAGTGTTTTGAATTGTTTGCTGGTTTTTGAGTAAAATTATATATAACATATAATTAATTACTCAATTAAAGTTTAACACCATTGTAGGTATTCATGACAGGATAAATATCTACATCTGACTTTTCGTGGCTATTTTAAACTAGTTTGAATGTGTACTGATACGTTGTTTATGGCTTTGAACCTTTCGTAGTAATATCCGGAATTTTTACGAGCATCCCTTTTATCGACTAGAAATAGGTTACATTGACTGAAGAAATTTCATAAATTATTTCTTGGTTTACCCTCATAAAACTGTTTCACCAGTTTCTCTATGCTTTGTTACTATTTCGTAATAAAACCTTTTATTTTTTTCCAGGGGTGGTCTTCGATAAAAACTCGGACGAAATCCAAAATGCTTTCAAGTTGGCTGTATTTCAGTACACCAATCCAAATAAAACACGTTTGGATTTTGAACTATTAGTGAATATCATAAGTACAGCAGACGCCTTCAAAATATCCAGACTTAGTAAGTAATCTTACCTGTTATTTTTATACTTATTATTAATAAACATAAAATTAACACATTAATATTCTTCCATAAAATTTACTTAGTTAAGCTATTCAATTAACAGTCAGAATCGATTCTATTAATACTATTTATCACTCTGAATTGATTGCATTAAATATCGTTGAAATATTTGCGCCTACACTGTTAACGATATTGGTTTGAATAGTACTATAGCTGGATACCTGTGGCATACTAAATATTAAGCAATAGTTATTGTTGTCACAGGTTGGTTTTAAAACAAGGGCGGGTTTTCGGTAGGTAGGTTTAGGATCACAGGTAATTCCCAGCCATGGTTTTGTCACTACCGTAACATTATATAATCACTCAGTAGGAATGCTACCAGGCCTGGGCTGATGCATCAACGCTACTGGGTGCAAAGATTAGCGCTCTTAAAAATACGTATAATTTTATAAAGAGGATGTCTCACTGGTTTGCGCCGCAATGCAGAAAGCCTTTAGACTTTTAGACTCTCTTTTTGCGTCCAAGTCGATTAGTGACGATATGACACGGAGTACACACCGCCGACCATACCGTGGTGAGAGTGCTCCATGCGCTCAGATGTGCGTTTTACACAGTGCGTTTTACAAAGCGCTCAAAGCTCTCCTCACTCTGAACGTCAGCAAGTTGAGTGGGTCGGATGGAATCTCCCCAGTTATGCTGAAGGGATATGCCTGGAGTTGGTACCGGTGCTAATGCGAGTTTTGCGATATTTTTACTCCCTTTGTGTCAAACTCGAGGAAGACAGTTTTAATGCACCTAATCTCTAAAAATCGTGACCGCTTAAGGACATATTTTTTAGGAACATATTTCGTACCGCCAAACTTCTTGTAACTTGAAATACTCTTTACTTGACTGCATGCAGCTAAGAGAAGCCCAAATTTTCGACAACCGAGTTCTTTCTGATTCACTGACGCAGCGAAGAATATTGATTTGAAAATTTGCACTCGTTTTAAAGGCCAACAATAATTTAATAGGTTTATCTTAGTATGATTTAGGCCATGTAGTGGCAGTGAAAGATATGCACTTTCCCATATCATCCCGTGGGTGTCGTAAGAGGTGACAAAAGGAAACAGATCAAGAGATTGGCAGCAGCGTCTTCCTAATAACGACTATAAATAAAAAACAGCGTTTGTCAACCCGATTGACAAGCGTGGTAACTTTGTAATATATCCCCCCATGAGGCATTCTATGGAGGAAGCCTATGTTCAATGGACTTTAATAGGCTGTAACGGTAACGTTATCCCATTAACTTGATCATGGTCACCAGTATAATTCTCTCTGGAATCATCAATGCATTTCTTTGAGTTCTCTGAAATATTTATATTATTTTTATTTTGATGTGATGTTCTTGAGTGCAAAGCAACGAAAAATCTTTTTTTTTTCTCTCTCTCTCTATCTCTCTCCCTTCTAAATATATTTACAAATATTAACGAAAATATCTAAGTATGTTTTCATTTTGCTGTCCTTTAAAAGGTTCGTGGTTTTTGATTACTTTACTGTGCTTGACTACCTCAAGTTTTAGATAGTGAATTGCACTTCCTTGACGTAATGAAGCCTTCTCACACTTGCCTTTTGATTACTATGGTATTCTGTATATCCATACAGTACATCAATACCACACTAATAATATGGAAAGGTGGACGCTAGCAAATTATACCACTCCTTTACTGTACTCGTTAATATGTAAGACGAAGAAAGCCATTTGGTTAACAAACAAACGTGTGTTATCAACAATAAGGAGATCTTTCTGACCCGCTGTCTCTTTGTCACAATGGGGAAAATAGGTGGGAAAGGGGTGGGTGGGAAGAATAAGAGAAGAGGAATGTAATTCATTAACACACACTGAATTTTTGACACTTTAAAATATATATGTTTGCAATTATTTATAAATAATAATTAACATATAACCAAGCTGTTCATTCCGTCATACGGTGTTAAGAGTTTAAGAGAATTTAGTGTTTCTGTAAAGTGTAGTGTAAGTACTAAGTAAAAAATAATTGTTTTTACGTCAATTAGTTTTAAGTTAAGAACAGATTAAAATAAAAGTGATATGACGTAATCTAAATTGTAATATTTGCTAACATATATTAAATTTTAACCTATTGTAAAACTAGCATCAATGGATGAAATTTTTGTGAATATGTTCATATTTTGTGTTCATACAAAATTATCAGATTAATCGATCAGTTTATGATTTTTGTAGAGCTAACAACAAAGCTATGTTAAATAAGTATAAAAAGACTGCATTTAAAACTGATGTCCTTTTTTGTATTTGAAAGGGACGAAGAGAGAACGAAGTGTGAAATATGGGTAAATCAGGAATGTCTAGAACAGGTAAATGAAATTGTATACTTGGGGAGTGCTTTTAGCCGGGATGGAAGATGTGATTTAGATGTTGACAGGCGTGTCGCTGCCGGGAACAAAGTCAATGATGCCCTGACTGCGTTAGTCAAAAGGCAAGGCGTAGTGAAGAGTGCACGCTTTGCAATACATAACGCAGTGTTGGTACCGACTTTGTTATATGGCAGCGAAACCTGGGTATGCCAGAAGAAGCACAAAAGCAAGTTGACTGCAGTGGAGATGCGATCTCTTCCTAAAATGTGCGGTGTTACCATGGCCGACCGAAAGCGAAACGAAGAGATTCGTAATATGGCAGGTTTGAAAGATGACCTTATCACAAAAATTAATAAGGGCGTGCTTCGATAGTTTAGGCACGTTGAGCGAATGAGTGAAGACCGAATGGTGAAGAAAATATATAGCGCGAAAGTTAATATTAAAAGGTGTCGAGGTAGACCGAGGCTAACTTTCGAAGACCATGTGAGCAAATTGCTCGAAGAGGGAAGGGTCAAGAGTACTCGGATACCTAGACGTGCATGTATGAAGAAGATAATGAATCTGAAAGAAGCGAAAGAGGTATGTAAGGATCGTGACACTTGGCGATCTGTTGTCTCTGGCTACCCCGTCAGGGATTGTGCGTGAAGATAAGTAAGTAAGTAAGTATGTCCTTTTTATAGGATAAGGGTGATAAACGAGCACACAGTCCACCTGATGGTAAGTGGTTGCTGCGGCCCAAAGACATCTACATCTATCCTCTATTACAAATCAAAATGTGGATGCGTTGTCACCCGTGAGGACTAAGATGGAATGCCTCATTTCCAGTAAAAAGGGCCTCCGGCCACCTGCACTCACCGAGCGAAACGCAGAGGTAAACCTCAACCTCAACCTCTTGAAACTAAACCATCACTAACTACAATTTGATCGTTGCTTTGAAGTTCCGCCTTGCAATTTTAAATGTTAATTTGTAATTTCTTATTTTTATGCGACACTACCGGAAGAAGGATTAAATTTTACGGATACATGGATTGGATAGGTATTTGTATCTATGTGTCCCCATATTTGGAGTGTCAAAGGCCACAATTTATGATAAAAATGTCTCTAAAACAAACTGGTAATAGCAAAGTTAATCCAGTTTTTTTTAATACTAAACACTTTGTTGTACATATGTTGAAATGTGTCCATAAGAAGTAAGATAGAATGTTAGTAGTAAAATACGTAAAAAGATTTCTGGTTTTTGTCAGTCAACAAATTAAACAGAGCAGTATTATGCTGTATTTGCATTTGAGCGAAACTATTTGTGCTGCAGCCATTATAGGCTGCAGCGTGGCTCTATAACATAAATTTCTTGTTCACTGCACCTGACTGCAATAACCGATGTTTATAAAAAAGCGGTCTAAATTTAATACTAGCATAATATGAGATAAAGCACACCTTTTATAGTTAAATTTGTAAAACTCAATTTGCAGGCAAATAATTATACAGTGTTTATATTTTCGTCCAACATCGAGGAATACACACTAATAAAGTTTGAGCTAATTATATGAACTAAGGGTTACCTCTTCAATATCAAAAGTAACAAAAATCGAAATTAAAATAATAATGTGTATTTCTTCTTTCCTTTTTCCTTTGCATTTGAATCGATTTTTTTACAATATTTAAAGGAGCTAGTTGCGTTGCCTCGCCTCAATTATTATACTTTTCATTTGAGCGCGTATAGAACATTCCTTTTATCACCAGCGGTGAAGTCACGAACACAGTTTCTTTAAAAACTTCACCGCACGTGAACCCCACGGAACTATAGTCTCTACAGCAAATGGCATAAATATGAAGTCATTTCTCAGAGTCATATACTTGAGCCACTTACTCAGTTCAGACACCTCTGGTGCTGCCCCGGTTCTAAGAGAGATATCTAAGATACGAGTTTGCCAAATATCTACGCACATAACATCCCACACCAGGGCTTTACATCTCTCCCAAAGGACCAAAGTTATACCGTCAGATCTTCTCCGATGGTCTGTAAATTCCTCAAGGCTCTAAAGCCGAGGAAACGTTTACAGAGACAAGAGACCTTTAGATAATATCGTTACAAGAATTATGACGGGGTATCCTATCAGCATTCTTCTCATTTTTTTTATAGAATAAGGGGGTACACACGAGCAAAGTAAGCGACTAAGAATCAAAATGCAAATTCGTTGTCACCCCTGAGGACCAAGATCTAGAACAACGTGTTGAAAGTAAAAAGGGTCTGCGGATCTCTATTCTCACAGTATGAAACACATTAGCTTAAAGCTGCTATTTTAGTAATATTAATACCAGTATTATATGAGAACATGGTCAATTCCAGTCGAGTCGACCCCTTCGTGCTACAACCATAAGATTGGTGCAGTATGGCTCTACTTCGTGAAATTCCGTGAAGCCTTAACTCAAGAACTTAGCACGTCCACGGTCCCATGACCCACACATGGTTCATTGCTTTATTTTTTTCATTGTTCTTAATATTGTGTCTAGACACTGCACAATAAAAGTGACTGTTGAGAATAAGCAACTAGGTTTTATACTAAATTTAGTTATACGGCGTTAGTTTTCAAATAGTTTAGCCAAATTTTAAGCTTAAGTTCAAA